TCCTCCCACCCACGTCCCCTCTGTGTTATTTTTATTACTTATGAATTTTCAGATTGTTCTAGAATTTTGTTCTAGAATAAGATTTTTATTACTTTGTTTTGTTTGCTATGCTTTCCATAATTTATCTAAACACATCATGCCCCTTTCTCATCTGACCTCAACATTAGAGAATGGTCTTTTCGTGGGGTTCTATTAATACTAGGATAATTTTAAGTCTATCCAGCCTTCTTTGTAGCACTGAGTTCCTTAATGGTGTCAGCACTCTTGCTGCTTTCTGAATTAGTAATTAACTGCCATGAATTGTACACAATGTGCAGGCATCTGAAGGCTTTTTTCAGGTACTTCATGTTCTGCAGTCTGTGGCCTCTAAGAGAGACACTTTTCGTTGCTTTGTTAATGACTAAGCCAAGATAAATAGATGTTCTTGGGTGGTGAGCAGCTGAACCTTTTGACAGTTTTGACTCCTTTCTTTATAGTATTTGCATAGTTTGTTCACTGTGTGGACAGGCAGGAGACTTGATGTCTGGAGCTTGTGCAGGAGCATGCCCTTCATGGCATAGCTAAAAGTTCAGCTCCCTTGTTTTAGTGGTCACCAGGTTAAGGCACGGTCACTTTACAATATTTTTTTCTCACTTGTAGTATTCTTATAGTATGATCTTCATGTTAATTGATTTTCACCTTGTTCAACAGATATTTAGTGAGTGTTTACTATGTGCCAAGGTAGGTTATTGTTCTGTTTTGAGAGAATATGATCTTGTTGTTTATATTTTTTCTGTCCTTAAGAGTAGGGGATCCCAAACTTGTGGCTGAGAGCTACTTTGTTCCTCCTTAGAGCTTCACAGATGGGAAGCTGTAGCTGCCACATGCCCATCCCAGTTAGTGAGGTGAGGGCCTAGCATGGCTGAAAGTCACCTCCTCATCATCTGTGGGCATGGAGGATGGATATCCTTTGCCATCTTAGGTACAGTTTTCTCCTGCTTTATAGGGCCAGTATCCTTTTCTTTTTTGCATTAGGCACCAAAAGGGGAATGTGACCCCACTCACGAACACCTAAAGGAAGTGAAATACTTTCCAAATCACACTGATGTTGGCATTTATAGTAAATGCTTTTAATAAGCTAAGTCCTATTTAACCTCCTCTTCTGTCCATTCTCTTTATTTTTTTTTCTTTCCTCCCATCATGGGCTGGGCTGATTTTAGATTCTGTTAGAATTGGCGCTGCCAGCATGTGACAGAGCATTTTATATCTTATGTTAGAAGGAATCCACCTCAGCATCCTTGATTGATTGAAGGTACTCAGGCTATGACAATCACAGTGAAGGGAGCATGGAAACCTGAAAATCATGCATCCCTCTGGAAGTATTGGTCTGAAAGAGGTTGGAGGAAGTGTGTGGAGAAAGAATTTCATAAGCTTCTGGGCCCGATCCATGGCCAACTCTCACTTAAGAGTAAAGAAAATAAATGAGTCATTTCAATGACGGGTGTATGAAATGACCAGCATGTGTATCTATACTACTAAGCTTGTTTGACCTTGATGGAGGGAAGGAGTGAAATCACTTATTTTTACAGTATCATTTCCTTTCATTTTTTCCTTTTAAATCACTTCTTTAATACCTCTTTGGGTTTGGAGGTGCTTTAGAACTTCAAACAACTGCCTTAATATTTCCAGCAGAGCAGTGCCCAGAGTCCAAAAATGAGGAGATAGAGACAAAAGGAGGCAATTAGGGATAACAAACAAAGCAAAGTTAAATGAGGGAGAAACTGCTGCTTCACTATCTTCTAGCTGATCCTTAAACTTTACCCTTGACATGTTTGAGTGTGTTTGGTCTCATGCTGAAGTGTTCTCCCATATGTATTAACAGTGGTAAAACTCATCTTATTTAAGAGTCTTTGTTGGAAGATGTAATGATTGACTCAAAGCTGGAAAAACATGAATGTGTATATGAATTAAACAGGAAAAAAAGGTTTTCTGACTTCTTATAATAGTGGGAGACAGGGAGGGAATTTTAGGGCTCAGGTCTTAGTTACAGACAGCTGATTCTACTCTGAACCAGTTTAAACAGGAAGGGGTTTATTAAGAAGTTGTTGAGCTTATGGTCTCCTCAGAAGAGCTGGAGAACAGGCTTTCAGCTGAAGTTAAAGGAACAACACTCAGACCACATCACACAACTGGCCCAGCCAAGATCTGCTGCCACGTCTCCCCACCCAGTACCACCTGCTCTGCTGCCACCTGCACCTGCCAAGCAGGTGCTCTTTACCATCTAATTCTTCCCATGTCCTGTTTCCAAATCCACTTCAAGTAGGTGTGTCAGGTGATGCAACTAAATCCAGAGTCTACACCCTAATAGCAAAGGAGATTGAGAAACATAATTTATGTGATTCTGTATTGGAATAGTGGGATTCACATGTTGGGAAGTATTGAAATGGAAGTCTGGAAGGGTTTGGGGCGGCCGCAAATTTAGATGTTCCTTATAAGACTACATTAGCAAAATACAACACAGAAATGCCTCATAATATGAATTAAATTTTATGATCAACTGCAAAAAAAAATGCAACTCTAGAAGACAAGTTCCTTTATGGCTTTATTTGCTGAGGACTTGGTAGTCTATATCATGATTCTACATATTTCTCCCTTCATTTACTTAGGTTGGTTATTTTCTAGTGTTTGATGTGTTTCTTCTCCTATTTATTATCCTTGACATGGCAAGATCCCATCAGATTAGGCTATCAAAGGAGAAGGGTTTACAAATCATTCATTTAAGTCCTCACAGAGCCATATTCTTTTGAAGAAGTTGCTGAGATTTCTAGATTTTGTACTTTTACTGACATTGAAGACCTTTGGAACTATAAATCCCCTGAGAAGAAACAACTAGGTTTTAATAAAACAAATTTAGCTTGAGTTTTTGTATGAATTACACAGACATTTTTTTTTACTCATATAATCCATTTCAGATCTTTATTTCACACTAAAGATAGACTTTCCCTCTTCCTCATTATTTTTTATTTTTTTTAATATATGAAATTTATTGTCAAATTAGTTTCCATACAACACCCAGTGCTCATCCCAAAAAGATGCCCTCTTCAATGCCCATCACCTACCTCCCTCCCTCCCACCACCCATCAACCCTCAGATTGTTCTCAGTTTTTAGGAGTCTCTTATGCTTTGGCTCTCTCCCCAACTCTAACCTCTTTTTTTTTTTTTCCTTCCTCCCCCATGGGTTTCTGTTAAGTTTCAGGATCCACATAAGAGTGAAAACATATGGTATCTGTCTTTCTCTGTATGGCTTATTTCACTTAGCATCACACTCTCTAGTTCCATCCACGTTGCTACAAAGGGCCATATTTCATTCTTTCTCATTGCCATGTAGTACTCCATTGTGTATATAAACCACAATTTCTTTATCCATTCATCAGTTGATGGACATTTAGGCTTTTTCCATAATTTGGCTATTGAGAGTGCTGCTATAAACATTGAGGTACAAGTGCCCCATGCATCAGTATTCCCGTATTCCTGTATCCCTTGGGTAAATTCCTAGCAGTGCTACTGCTGGGTCATAGGGTAGGTCCACTTTTAATTTTTTGAGGAACCTCCACACTGTTTTCCAGAGTGGCTGCACCAGTTTGCATTCCCACCAACAGTGCAAGAGGGTTCTGTTTCTCCACATCCTCTCCAGCATCTATAGTCTCCTGATTTGTTCATTTTGGCCACTCTGAATGGCATGAAGTGATATCTGAGTGTGGTTTTGATTTGTATTTCCCTGATGAGGAGTGACGTTGAGCATCTTTTCATGTACCTGTTGGCCATCTGGATATCTTCTTTAGAGAAGTGTCTATTCATGTTTTCTGCCCATTTCTTCACTGGATTATTTTTTGGGTCACACAGACATTTTTAATAGATTTTTATGGAGACCTATGTGAAGTTTTTGTTTTTTTCAAATTGGGCCATTCTTTTCTTTTTTTTAAATTTTTTTTAACATTTATTCATTTTTGAGAGACAGAGCCAGATAGAGCACGAGTGGGGGAGGGGCAGAGAGAGGTGGGGACACAGAATCCAAAGCAGTCTCCAGACTCTGAGCTGTCAGCACAGAGCCCAACGTGGGGCTCAAACTCACAGACTGCAAGATCATGACCTGAGCTAAAGTTGGACATTTACAACTGAGCCACCCAAGCACCCCAGGGGCCATTCTTTTTAAAAAATGTATTAGTTTGGTACATAAACTTTTACTCTTTTGAAAAGCAAGCAAAAGGGGCGCCTGGGTGGCGCAGTCGGTTAAGCATCCGACTTCAGCCAGGTCACCATCTCGCGGTCCGTGAGTTCGAGCCCCGCGTCGGGCTCTGGGCTGATGGCTCAGAGCCTGGAGCCTGTTTCCAATTCTGTGTCTCCCTCTCTCTGCCCCTCCCCCGTTCATGCTCTGTCTCTCTCTGTCCCAAAAATAAATAAATGTTAAAAAAAAATAAAAAATAAAAAAAAAGCAAGCAAAATATATCAAAATATTTTGCATGTGTAAAGTTCCACTAATGCATCAGTGAAATTGTAACTCTCTGATTACTAAAATATGGTATAGAAAACTCTGTAACATAACATTACAATTTTTACTTAGCATGTTAAAGTTTTTACTAACAGTGCTTCTTTTTTGGCCACTCAAGGTCTTAAACGAAATAGATTTTAAAAATGCTAAATATGTAAACAAGCATTTGAAATCATAGTTTTGACTTGTTGACACTTACTGGGAAGCCCTCAATTATTTCACTTTTTTGATAAACCCTGTCTAAACCTACAAGCTGTTTGCAAACTAGAACATAAATATTTGTATGTATGGTCACGGAAAATAACCAGGAACCTTAATTAAAGAGTTTTTCCCTGGTTCCTTGGCAACAAAAGATGAGTGAAAAACTTCTCCTTTTTACTTTTTATTTTTTGACCTGAGTAAATAGTTCCTTTAAATATTTTTCTCCACTAAGTATCGTCTTTTTACTTAAATTTTTTATATCATTCTACAGGGAGTTAAATACCTGTGCATTCCAGCAGCGGATTCGCCATCTCAAAACCTGTAAGTTGGTTTTTTCCTACATTTTTTGGAGATATTAAAAACAAATAAAGGACAGTAAAGTAAAGGACTGTGAAATTGTTGGAGCCAATGGGATGCTTCATGCCTTGCGCAGCTGCTGCCCTGCAGGGGAGGTAACAAGGCCCATAGGAGGTCTGTGCTGCCGAGTTAGGCAGAGCTGCAGCTGGAGGCACGCTTCTTGTTTGCCAGTCCTTCAACTACACAACACTGATGGGATGTCTATAAGAGCCTAATTTTTAAAAAGGATGCCTTAAACCAAACCTTGAGCATGTTCATCTCTTCTCTAGAAGTAAACCCTTAAGGAAGCTATTGGGTTTTGTCTAAAAGCAGCACTGTCCAATAGAAATAGAATGTGGACCACAAATGTAAGCTGTGCAGGTAATGTTAAATTTTCTAGGAGTCAAATTAAAAAGAATAAAAAAGAGGGGCACCTGGGTGGCTCAGTCAGTTAAGCATCTGACTCTTGGTTTTGGCTCAGGTCATTGTCTCATGGTTTGTGAGATTGAGTCCCAAGCAGAGCCTGCTTGGGATTCTCATGCACCCTCTCTCTCTCTATGCCCCATCTCCCTCCCTCCCTCCCTCTCTCCCTCCCTCTCTCTCTCTCTCTCTCTCTCTCTCTCTCTCTTTCTCTCTCTCTTTCTCACTGTCAAAATAAATAAATAAACTTAAAGAAGACCATGATATGGAGTAAAATTTTACTGAAGCATGGATTTGAACCTTTCAGGCTCAGACACTGGGGCAGAAATAAAGTACTTAACCACTCATTGCCTCCAGTAGATACCAGCCCCTGCTTCCAAGGCTGGCCTTGTGCTTACATTGCAGGTCAAACGCAACCATGCTAGAATTACAGGTTACTGCATCTTATCTGGAAAGTTACAAGCTATGGTGATGTTTGTGAATTTGGGAGCCCACAGGCTTGTTGGGATTCATCCTTCGTGATTCTTAAGCTCTATTGCCTACAAATCCTGCATATTGGAATTACAGACCATATAATCTTATGTTTAGTATCCCAATTGTTCATCTTCTCTGAAAGCTATCAAATACTGGAACATTCGCAAATCTTGATTTTTGATTGCTAGAGAGCAGTGAAATCCCAGGTTACACAATAATTTTGTGAGATCTACCTGTTTGAGAAAAAAATGGGGCTAGAGTCAGATGGATTGATGTAGGGAAGGGTGGGGGGTGGTATAGGACAGGGGATAGGCGGCATATGATTAGATGAGAAAAGGGCAAGGGTAGATTTGAAGCAGGGACAAATATGTTCTGCATAAGGCCTTTTTTTTTTTTACACTAACTCTCCATATTTCACAGAAAAAGTCAGTCTTTAAGGCTGAGGATGACGGAGGAAAGATTTTACTAGGATCACTAGGAAAACAGTAGTAGCTTGGGTCTAGGAGGAGAAGAAGCACCAGAGAACTTCCTTGGTTACTAGTCGTGTCAAGAAACAGAAGTGGTTGGAAGGGCATGGTGTATACGGAAGGAAGTGAGCCACTGCCTTTCTCTGGAGACCACAGCAATCTTCTGCCCATGTTTTGGTGGCTATTTTTAAAATGGTTGCTTTGTTCTTATCTCAAACTGAGATTCTAATATACTGCTGAACTTGTCAATACCTGATTGGCAATATGACTCTTTGGAGGAATCAGATTATAACACATCCTGGGCATTTGTTGTGAGGTAAGGTGGCCACCTGTACTTGATTGCCCTCAGGACATTTCAGCTTTGCTAGGAGCCAAGCATTGTGCTTGATGTCCAGGACAATAACTGACTTACCAAACGAAGATTGAGCATTGAGCAGTCCTGCACTATATAGACAAGTAAGCAGTAGACCTTGATGTTAGATATCTTAAATTTAAAACTAGTTGTATCTACCTTGGGCAAGTCATTTAAACCCATCTGAACTTCAGTTCCCTCATGTAAAAAATACCTGCCTTGAGGATTTTTGGAGATCAGATCACATGTATGAAAGTGTTCTCTATGAACTCTAAGCACTTTTGAGAATAAGAATACACTTTTACTCTCTTAAAAGTGTATTCATATATCTTGAGAGTTATAAAAGAAGATAATTGAGGGGCGCCTGGGTGGCGCAGTCGGTTAAGCGTCCGACTTCAGCCAGGTCACGATCTCGCAGTCCGTGAGTTCGAGCCCCGCGTCAGGCTCTGGGCTGATGGCTCGGAGCCTGGAGCCTGTTTCCGATTCTGTGTCTCCCTCTCTCTCTGCCCCTCCCCCGTTCATGCTCTGTCTCTCTCTATCCCAAAAATAAATTAAAAAAACGTTGAAAAAAAAAATTAAAAAAAAAAAGAAGATAATTGAAATAACAAGTTTTGGTGTTCAGGAGACCCACTTTAGTGGGAGATTTGGAAGATATGCTTACATGGAAAGACCAGAGTGACAGAAAATGTAGCAGCAGCTTCTCCAAGTTCCAGGGTCTCATGGGTCAGTTCAGGTCTTCTGGTAAAACCAGCCCAAACACAGTTACCTTGGGTCCAAAGGACTAACCTGCAAGATTTGAATTTGTTCTCTCCTGTCCCAAATATGTGCAGAGGTCTTGTTAAGCTGTGTGATTTGCCTTTTTAACTCTTTCCTTACATCTTGGTGAAAGTGTAGGGTGGGACACCAGGTTTCAATAGGTAGTTACCATAGCATCCATGTTTGGGGCTAATGACAGAATAACTTCAAGAGGACGTGCCATTGCTGCTATGTTGAGGGAAGTCCTACAGCTGTACAACCTCTGTTTCAGTTGGAAAAGAAAGTTAAGGCCATAACTCATCGAAAGGCAGAAAAGCTGGCACTTGCCTGTTAACAGTTATGTTCATAGGCATTTATGTGATTCTTTGGGAAAACTTTTATTTTTAATCCATTAGTAATTGCAAATCTTATGCATAAGTAAGACGTTGGGCACATCAATGTCCATGAGTTTATAAATATTTCTTGCTCTACTGAAGTTACATGGAAATTGTGGAGTTAAGTTTGTAATTTGAGTTTACTGTGTATGTTAAGAGACAGCCTATGAAATAGCTGGAGTTTCTCTTTCCGTGTTACACATGTTTCTTTGGAAGCATAACATACGTTTTAACAGCAAGCATGCTTTCATGATATAATTAGACTATTAACCATTGGCAAATGGAATACTTGACTTTTTATGTGGCCTGTTCACTTCAGGTAGCCTGTGGTCACCAAATATTAGGAACATATAGCTGACAGTGAACCTTCACTTTCTGTACCCTCAACCAATGCAGATAGGAGATAAATACTCTGGTTAACAAAAGCAAGAGAAATCATGTCCATCACTTGGAAAATATGCTCTGGCTAACTCAGACAATTATAACTAGTAGTTCTTTAGTCTAGCCACTTTTAATTACTGATGCCTGAAAAGTCTTATATTTAATGACAAAATAAATTCTAGAAAACTGTATCGCTTACTGTTTTGAACCTACAGATTTTTTAAATTGTTTAACTTTAGATGTAATTTAAAGTTTTATATCCTAAATATTACCCCACAAACCCCTATACCAACAGGAATTCTTCTTGCTAATTATGCTTAGTAAGAGGTTTGTGACCTTTTGAAACTAACTGCTTTCACTTGGCATTCAGTGGTTGTAAGCTGCCCAGAAAGGTCAATTTTCTGTCTTGGCTTTAATCCTCACAAACTCCCCCTCTGATCTTCCAGGAACTTGAAATGCAGAAACCTGGTTAAGATAACATTAACACATTAAAATTTTACCTCAGTTCCCTAACCACCTTGCCTTTCAAAGTCAGGAAATGTGAAAGTTCAAGTTCTCATAGTTGTAATACCCCCACAGACCCAGGCTGGGGTGTTTTGCATGATTTGTCACAATTAGAGGCATCCTAGAGCTTATATCACATGCATACACTACATGATCTCTGAGTGGCTGATGTGGGGTGGGTGGTGAATTGAGGCTTTTAGAAATACTTGCTTTTGCTTTCTCTGTGTACTTTCTTATGCAAGTCACTTTAACCTCACTTCTCATCTGTAAAATACCTATTTCACACAATTCTTGTAGTATTAGGTTAGATAAGTGAAAGTATTTTTTATGAACTGTAAGCTATTCCAGAAATAAGATTATATTTGCTATCCAAGTAAGGAGTATTAATGTATTTCGAGAGTGAATTATTGGATATATGGTAGATCATTTATTCATTCTTATTTTAATATTTATTAAATTGGTATTTTTTATTTAGATATTGTTAAGGGAATACTTTTTTTAAATCTTCTAATGTCAAGTACAGGAGAGTTTGGTCTGTGCTGTGGAGTTGGTGGCATTGCATCATTGCAGTAGAACTTTTGTGACATTCAGTGGTTTGAGTATCGAGCAGGTCTCTAACTTTCTTGAGGTTTTTGTGGGGAGAAGAGGTAATTAGCAATACAGAAAGCTTATATTTAAAGTACCAGTAAAACTTCCTTGCCTTATTCTACCTCCCTTTTTGTGTATGTTTTCTTTAATTTAGCTGATGTCTTCTGTACATCCAACTCTTTCGTCCTCTTATAGTTTTTCTTTGTTTTAATTATTAAAAAAGTTTTGCAAAATCAAAGCTAGGTGGGCCCTTGGAGTGCTGTGGTTCTGTTTCCAGACAGATGCATACATACTTGAGCATACATGTGCACACACACATACACACACACACATGCTCACACATGACTCCTGAGGACTTTGCAGCCCATAGGAATGAGAAATACACAGAAAATGGATATTGAGTTTTTTTTTATAAGACTTCACTTATTGAACTTAACTGTATTTTAGTCTTAAACTTTCTTCTCCTAGTTTTTCTAGTGTTCAATTATTCTTTGTGAAATGATGTTATAGTAGATGGTAGAGAGGTTTTTGTTTTGTTTTTAAAATGACCTTATGTAGCAAAATGAAAATCATGATAAAAATCCACCCCCCCCAATTAAAAAAATGTTTAAGTGCAGGAAATATAAAAGTTGGGGAATCATTGATGTAAATATGAGTTAGTTGTATGTG